ACCTCCCACAATAATCAAACAAATTCATAATAATATTGCACAATTATACAATATTACAAAATTCATAATTTTCTCAATAATCACCCAATTAACATGAAGTAACAATAATCACAAATTAAAAGTATGGTTATCTTGTGGCTTTTTCAATAAATTATTTCTTAAAATTTCTCTCTCACCACAATCTTCACCAATAATACAATCTACAAATAACATATTATTTATAAATATTAGTTTCAATTTTTGAAACTAATAAAATAATTCTAATAATAGAATTAAAAATTTAACATAATTCCTAATCTCAATCTTAATATAAATCTAGAGTTAACACTATTAAGTAAAATTTTTAACTCCTCTTTTAGTCATCAATAAACATTAATAATCTAAAAATTAAATTTTAAACTAATTTCTATTATCAAAATTTTTTTTATTTTATAAATTCGCACCTAAAATACTCAAAAATTAAAAATTAAGTCTCTAGCTTAGAATTATAATCCTATAGCCATAATAATTCATTTCTCATCCCAAATAATCATCTAAACCTCAATAAATTAACATATATTTTTAGATCTAGTTTAGAATTTGATCCATAAGCCACAAATTCAAAGATCATCAACAAATTTATACTCTAGAACATTTATTATACTACTAACAACCTCAAAAACCATATTTATTCAACATAAATTCATCCCTCTTCCAGATCCTAAATTTTCTACCACTACAAAATCAGAAACCAAAGAGGAAGGATGACTAAGAAAAATTTTTAGAACACTCACTTAGTCTTGAAAAGCTTAAAATCACACCCTAAATATCCTATTAAAAACTCTTACTTAAAAACTCAGATCTCCCGTACCGACGAAACTAGATACTCTCTCAGCCTCAGCTCGCGCACAGGAAAGAATGAAGAAACGAAGGAAACAGGTGAGTTTTTATAAAAATTCAGTGGGTCCCACATTTTTTTTAAATTATTTCTTCTTTCCTCTCTCTTCTTTCTTCTTTTTTTTTATTATTTTATATGTAATCATTACGCGGCCGCCGAAAGCAAACTCGTTCTTCTTCTTCTTCTTCCCTTTTTTTTAATACCTTTTCTTTTTTTATTATAATAATAATTTAATAATATTTTATTATTATTTTTTATTAATTTTTTAAATTTTAATTTAGAATTATATCCTAAGTTAGATTTAATAATCATCTCCTACTAATTTGCTTACCTCTAAATATTTTTTTTAAAATTTCTATTAACCCAAATTAACTATTAAAATTTAAATTGGGATGTTATACAATATCCAAAATAAAATGATATATGTTAAGTTAGAGCTGCTAATTAATGTCAGATGTAAGTAATAGCTAGCAATTTAACAATATATATTAGATATAAACAATCATATATCACTGATATACGAGTATATACCACTGATATACAAGACCATGAACTCTATATTTTTCATTTTCCAATAATGCATATCAATTGCACCCATCTATTTATAATTGACATATATTTATAGAAACCACTAAATATTAAATGATTTAGAATAGTAAACATGATCATCAACCAATTTATAAGGTAAATATAAAATTATAAATATACTTGTATTCTTTGCATTGATCACATTCTTTTCAAGTTGTGATCATTCATAATAATCATTTATTGTCCAGTTCAATATCCTTGGGAGTGTATCTCCTACTTTTTCAGCATGCCGGTATCATTTCATATGCCCAAGCAACAATGACATATGGGAATCCTCCAATTTAATAATTGACACCAAATTTATTAATTGTATCCTTGAAGGATTCCACAGTCATGTTATAGCACACCTTTCCCCATGAATATTTTTCAAACAAGTTATCATCTTCAAGCAACTTGTAAAACTTGTGATCAATGGCATTATGATCTTGCTTTGACAAGAGCATGTTCTCCAAACAATCAAGTTTTACTAACTTGACAAAATCAACGTCATTGTTTGGTATGTTACCTCTAAAGACAGAGAAGACATCCTTTCTTTTATGCAATGTGTTCTTAACTTGAAAGAATTTGTCTATGAAGGCTGGGATGGATTTTTTACTAAAGTCCATAGCAGGTAAATGATTACAATTTAGTCCGGTAACGATTGCAAACTCCTTTAATCTAAAAGTTAGCACTTTTCCTCTAATCAAAAAGTATAACTTGTCATCCTTTTTGCCAGGGCATTAGCTTCGAACCAACTAATGCACTAATCGCCCTAGAAAAGCACACATTTTTATGTTTAGTAGGTGTCCTAAACATCCTTCTTTGAATGTTTCAAGCTGCTCCTTGTTTAGTTTTTGGTTTATTGTTTCAACAGCTTCAATCTTGTTGCCATGCAAAATTCTCTGGTGAGGATTCTAAAGTTCCCTATAGACTATATATTCTCTTGTGCTTCTTTAGTCTTGACTTTTGTTCTCCATTGCCTCTTTGTCTTTCCTACGAATAGCCTTTGAAGTTGTTGCCCCTAATATTTTAGAAAAGTGTTAATATATTTAAGTACTATCATTGATGAATCAAATATAAAAGCAATAAAAAAATACACTTCATAATGGAATGTCATTGATATAGGTACATATATCATTGATGTACTAATGGTATATCATTGATATATTTATCAAAAAAGAACAAGAGATGTCATTGATACATTTAAGTATTAGGTAGAGTTGTGTCAAATAGACCAAAAAGAGAAGCTAACAGCAACTTGGACTTTGGACCTCTTGATACAAAAAGGGAAAAAAAAACACGGACCCCATAAATATTTGATATTATTTCCATCCTCTATAAAACTAAAACCATTAAAAAGGACATAAAAAGTGGGCAAAAAAAGCAAGAAGCTTTTACATGAATTCATGAGATAACTACCTTCCTTTCTTTGGTCAAAACAAATGAATGTATATCTAAACTATACTACATTCCCTAAGACCAAAACAAATGAAGAAAATTACAACTAGCTTATTCATTGAAGCTATTCCTAAATAAGCAAATAGGAAAAGTTCAATGAGCATAGTAAGAACCTTCAATCAATAAGCAGTGGAGTATTGAAAACAGATTCATGTAAATGAAATCAAGGTTGAAATCGAAGGGAAATATTATAATTAGACTAAAAGATGGATAGTTCCCTTTAGTGAAGATCAATTCAAGATTCATGAACAAATACACTTTAGTATCATTTAGCATGAGCCATCAAAATAAATTTGAAACTAATTCTAAAGAAATTAGCATAGACATTAATTTCTTGAAATGTGAATAGGCTTGGTAGGATTTCAGTATACAAGAAATTGTCCTTTAAAACTGTATAATTCGAATTAATGTTGTGAGCATAATTGGTGTTGAAGTTAACACAAGTATTTGCATCTCAAGAGACATATATATGTTGATGAGTAACTTCTCAATCCTATCTCTGTGTTTGTGTGTAATATGAATAAGTTTGGTGATGTATGTGTTATGGAGCAAACATAGGTATATCCCTTCTGCAAAAATAACATATTCTAGGAGACACAGTACACAAAAAGATGTATGAAAAGATCGAACTCCATAAATTTATTACTGTACTCTAAAATTAAACTGCTATATAAGTGCATGGCATTAAAGATATGCATCAATTATTTATTAAACTAGCAAAAGATCAGCTGAAAAATCAACAAGATGATAGAAGAAGAATAAAATGAAAGTAAAAATAGCATTCATGAAACCTCTTTGGTGATTTTTCAAATTGGGCATTGACATAATATATCACTAATATAAAGAAAAAACTTGGTGAAGTGGGACTATTCTTTCTCTTTGGCGGCATTGACAAAAGACTTGAAACCCTCGCTTGAACTTTGCCTTTAGTAACAGAGTGTGATCGATTCCCCACCCTGAATCTATAGCTTTAGCATGGCTTTGTATAGAAGATGCAGTTATGGACTTCCTCACCTCGCATTCATAATTTTTGACCTTGAATCTGTAGCAGCGAGTATGCCTGTCTCGTGTTTGTGTTTGTTAGCAGATAAATATGCAGAGCTTCAGTTTGCCTTTTCTCACGTTCGTGTGATCTTCTTTTCTAAAACTGCAAGTCAGTTTATCCACAGGGCGTGAGCTTTTCTGGTGGCTGCTGTCAGGTTCTTTGGCGTCTGACCAAGAGCAACACATTGTCTTTCATGTGGGGGAAAGCAAGTGAAAGTAAAATCTCCAGGTTTTCAGCTTAAAAAAGGGAATTAGGGTAGTGTGGTAATTTTTTTTTTTGATTGAAGGCATTGGGGTGTTTAAGGATGATTTTGTTTTTTGTATCATAGGAAAATTAGGAAATAACTATTCTCTTAATTTAGAAAAAAGTAGATTATTAGTTTTATTTAGTTATATAATGTTGGCTAAATTTACTAAAGCCCCTTTAATTACTAGTGAATTTAAAAAAAATTTAAAATTTAATTTCAGTCTAAAAGAATTAAAGTGAAAATAATTTTAATGATAAAAAATTAAATTATTTTTTACTTATTATGCAGAATTATTAATTATTAATTTTTTTACTCTGCTCGTTAATTTTTCAATATGAATTATAAATTATATTTATTTGTTAGACAAGCAGTAACATCAGTTGTTAATTTACTTTACTTATTAATTTACTAATATCAATTGTAAATTACTATACTTGTCAATAATTTATAACTGATATTAAAAAATTAATAAGTAAATTTAACAATTTAACAAATGATATTACTATTTGTAATTGAACAACATGTCAACTCTTATATAATTATTGACATGTAAATTCATGTAATTTATAAATTATATTAATAATTAATAAGTAAAGTAAAATAATAATAATTAATAATTTTACATAATAAAAAAATAATAGTTTGATATTTTTACTGTTAAAATTATTTTTATTTTTATTTTAATTTTTTGAAATTGAATTGAAATTTTAAATTTTTTAAGGTCAATTATTAAATTTTATCTAGAGTCCTTAATTGAAACTTAAAAAAAAAAAAAAAGCAACAAAGAAACACAGTACGGTACCTATACCTAAACCTGCGGTCGAAGTTTGGAGTCCCGACTGTTCGAAGCTCCTCTTCCTCTCCCCCAGTCCCCGTGCCGCCTTCGTCTTCCCTTATCCTCCCTACAGTCCACAACGCCAGTCGCTAAACCACAAGCTTCGAATCGTCTCCGACCCCCGACTCTGTTCCTCGCCTTCGTGCTCTTCCTCGGTCCCTCTTCATCGTCGTGCCTCACCTCAATATTCAGAGTTCAGATAATCAAATCTCCTCCCTCTGTATCTGATCTCTCCCTTTCTCGCACTCAGGTATCTCACTGACTCACTCTCACCTGTTCTTTCTCTGTGGTTTGTTGGATTTATGTCCGCAATTTGTGAGCCATTGAAAATGATTGCAATGTGGTATTGGTATCTGAATAACCTTTATTTTCTTCTGATTCTGAATTATGTCTTTTTCTTCAATTAGTGAATAATAGATGGTGATTTCTGATTTGTGATTTATATTTTCTTAGATAAAATGTGTGCGCCTCAAAGGATATAATCTATGGATGATGTACTGGGTCTGGAACTGATGATGGGGGGTTGGGAAATGCAAGTTTTTCTGTTCCTAATACTGATGATGGAGAAAGAGAGGAATGTGTTGATATTGATGGACAAAAGAATGAAAAAAGAAAGAAGAAAACAGAAAGATTTATGGTTTGGAAGTCTGTTACTAAGACAATTGATTCGGGCGTTCTGTTTATTAATCTCTTTATATTATTATCTATTGTGGAAATTCTCAAGGTATTTGTGATGCATGATCTGTTAAATGACTTGGCTTGGATTGTGTCTAACAATTTAGAAACTTGGATTTAAATTGTTATTCTTCAGTGGCTTGGAGGAGTTGCCTGAATTAATTGGCTTACTAAGGCATCTTCGTTGAAGTATCTGGAAGACTGGAACCACAATTTATAGGATATTATATCAACTATTCATATTTCAAAGATTTCTGTGGGGGCATCAGTTTATTATAGGTCCACCTATGGTCATGCTAGAATATCACTTTTCTGTATTGGTTTCGAAAACGTTTAGTTATTAAGTCCTTCCTCATTAGAAGCCAGTTTTAAGCACTCGGGGTGATCAATTTGAATCATATCTGCCTTTACTTTGGTAAACCAAACACTACCTATATCATGGGATTTGAATTCTAATCTTTGTTGATTTTATATGGTAAAGAATTGAAACTATAGGAACTTAGTATTGGTCTCAATTTTCATAACTTCATTTTATCATCATTAGTATTAGTTTGCTCAAAGGGAAAAAGATATGGGTATAGAAATACTGATGTGTGTATGTACAGATGCACGCACTTTGATAGGGATAAGATTGGCATTTATCTGTCTAAACTCTCTGCGTGTATGTGTTTTAATAGATGGTTCATATTTAATAGATGGTTCATACTTTAACTTTGCTAATTGATTGATTGGTGAAGCAGATCCACAGCTGATTTGGCACAATCAGAGTAGAAAAAAAAATGCCTCTTTACGATTGTATGTTTCTATTCAAGCCTAATCTAAAGAAGGAAGCTATCATGGATTTGGTTTGTAGGGTGGGGAAACATGTTTATAGAAGAAATGGAGTCCTCACTGATGTCAAGTCTTTTGGAACAGTTCAGTTGGGCTATGGTATTAAAAAGCTAGATGGCAGATATTATCAGGTGAGGTTTGATAATCCATGACGTTTCCATGACTCTGTTTAAATCTTTTTTTCTTAGTTTCTCTTATGAATATATCTTTAGATAATGTATATTATTGTAGCCTTGTTGGCACTGTGTGCTTGAAATCAAGTTCCATTTTGATCCTCAAGAATGCAAATAATGCTTCATTTCGTGATGATTAGAAGATTATAGCAATAAGATATAACATGATTCTATTAAATTATATTATATGTCGAGATTAATTAAAAAGAGCTACCAACTTGTAGGATTAATTTGACGTAATATGAGTTGACTTCTGAGTATTGACATCTTAAACTGCCTGATTTCCCCCACTTTGCCTGTTAGTCTCATTTTAGTGACAGCACTTTTAAGTTATTGATAAGTTGTTGAACCACCATTTTGTTAGGATAATCCTGATGGAGTCTCAAAATTTGAATATAAAACCAGGATTATATGCAAAATATCCCCCAAAAAGAAAAAAGGCAAATAGGAAAATCTACTTACAATGACTTCCCTTAGTTATTCAAGACATTAGGAAATATTTCAAACACTTCATAATGCTTTCCTCTCCTTGCTGCTTCATCCTTTTAATCCTCAACTACTGGCGAAATCTTCCAAATCAGGTATCACGAAACTACCCAGACAGTGATGGTTACATGACTATCCTCTATCGCATAAAAACTTCTCTAAGTATGTGTTTGGCTACCAGTTTCCTAAACTCAGTCACCTTTTGCAAAACCCAGTTTTTTGAAAGTGATTTTTGTTTCCATTTGCAAAACCCAATTTTGGGTTGATATTCCATTTTGCAACAATCAGTTTTGAGTTACCCAAACAGACATATACCATAACTGGATTTGTAGAAAGTCAGTTTGGGCTTTCTAACTGGTAGCCAAATGCATTCTAAACGGTCACATGATAATGGGTAAGGAAAATGAGATCCCATAGACACCAGGTTCTTGAAGCTTTACCTTGATCCCACGGCAAGAATTAAAGTTGTGACCAAGGACTGCTTTTCAATTGGACTTTCCTCTAATTTCCTCAAAACACTTGATTCAATAGCTTTCACAATACCTGCCAGCACCATAACCTCTTGCTCCTTGATGTTCCCTTCTAAATTTATCTCATTTTTGGAAGTTTACCCCATGATTAAACTCTTGGAAATTTCATGGCATGTTTAGAGATTTTTTTCTGCAATATGTCCCCCCTTTTCATTGCCTGTATTTTCTATCTCTACAACTCACTTCTATTGATAGCAAAGTCTCTTTACAACTCGTCAAATGTACTGCACTTGTGTTTTTCATGCTTCTGGGTATCACTGCATTGATACCAAGTTTGTGGAAACCAGAATACAGAAGTAGTAATATATGTAAAGTATGCAGAAATGCAGTTTACAAATCGGCATCTAATAATAATACAATGAATTTCCTTAATTTGTTGGGTTGTTAGAAATTCTCTCCGACACTCCTTAATGTTTTCCCATGCCTCCCCTTGCAGTTCTTTTAATCCTGAGAGAGTACCCCCACCCAAAAAAAAAAAAGGAAAGAAAGAAATAAAAAAATTATAACATTAAAAAAGGAGAGGAATAAAAAAACTATCCAAAACAGTTGCTGCTAACCACCACCACCACCACCATTATGACTACTACTTTAATCTACACTGATCTTGTAAGATGGATTTTTCTTGTGAAACGGCTGTTTCCCTAGGAATTGATGCAACCTATTATTATCATCTTATGCTAATAAAAAGAAAGTAGCGGATCCTGTGGTTTCTCTGCATGGAACTAGGAGTTTTAGGATAAAATGGTACTTTTAGATCATATCAATTATAAAATGGTGCCAAGATTTTGTAGTTTTTCATGTGTCTTGTCATTGGTGTATAAATATGATGCTGGAATTCTTTCTTTCAGCTATTTTATTTGGAAATGTTTGTCAATACTTTCAAATTTAATGAACCTAACAAAAATTTTCTGGTGGCTAAGGTAGATTGATCTCTGAAAGTTGTCCCGTAATAACCTGGCAATGTTCTATATACATAATTGTAGGGTCAAATGATGCAAATGACTATGATGGCTACACCCAACATCAATAAGGAGCTGCATTACCTAAACAAGGAAGACCGGCTACTTCGCTGGCTGCTGGTTAAACATCGCAACACGCAATATGGGATTGACTTCTTAAATGAGGAGCAAACTCAACTCGAGCTCAGCCGATGGCCTCGAAGCCGTATTTATGATGAATATGTTGACCATGATGAACATGAAGACAGCAACGATGAGGAATATGAAGTGGAGGAAGTAGAGAAAAAGTTGGATTAAAGTCTAATAGGGTATTTCTTTTTGGTTTCCATTATGAGAGGAACAAAGCATTGGGCTTTGTATTGTGGTGCTAGGCATGTTCTTAATAGTGTGAGGCTACAATTTGATATCATCAGTTAGTATGATGTTATGTTGTTGATCTCATGCGCTCTCAGTTTGGTTGTCAAGAAAAAGAGCCTTGCATGGAAATTGGGTATAATATTTTTTAATTCACTGACGTGAATGGCACTTTTCTGGGAATGTATGAGCATTTTAATTTGATTGACATCTTGTGGCTGGTTCAACTCCATGTTATCTGTATCGAGTTCAAGAGTTAGAATATGTAGTTATGTTAAATAAATATGCTATAAGTATCTCTAAGATACTTGTGAAATCATAATTGATAATAATAGTTTCATATAACGAGAGTTCAAATTAGTTTGAGTGGAAGATGCTGATGTTTCAAATTTTATAGGACACCAAGTGATGGAAAAAAATAAATATTGAAGAAATTGTATTGCAAGTATCATGAATGTTTAATGTTTTTAGTGTCCTTAATGACGTGAGGAGATAATTAATGTATATGATTTAGAGAATTAGAATTATTCCCTATGTGGTATTGAGAAAAAGATCTTTCAACAAGAATTTAAAACTCAACCTAAGAAATTCAATGAATTGAGCGAACGAAGTCATCAACTCGGTCGTCAGATGTGAAGCTTCGTCAGACAGAATCAAACATTGGCTTCTAGAAATCACGCGCCTGAAAAGAACTCCTTTGCGTGTGTGTGTGTGTGTGTGTGTTTTTTTTTTTTCCCAAATGCAATAAAGGCAAAATAGTCATTCTGCAGGTGTGATTCAATGCTAGAGAAGGATCCTATTTTAAGAAATTATCCCGAGTCCTTATTAACAAATAAATTCTTGATGAGGATTTTTGGGAAATTTTCCCTAGAAAAATTGAAAGAAAAATTGAAAAATTGAAAGAAAAAAAAAAGGAAAGTTGAAAAATTGATTGAATCACGACATGGTGCTCTTGATAAATTTGTTACTAGTAATAATAAAAGAGATATAATAACAACTTCAGTTGACGGAGAAGTAATAGAACAGTCACCTATGGATGATGTTGAAAATTCTAGTACGTTTAATTCGAATGAAGAGCAAGAAGATGATATAAATTTAAACAAAAATAATAAATTATAAGAAAATGTTAAACATAAGAGTTCATCGATCGATGTTCCTTTTTAGAGGTTTAATAGTAGAAAGGGGTTCAATTAAATATAAAAATTTGCAATTTCCCAAAGATAAAAAATAATAGACATTTTTCTTCATCTTTTTACCAATGAATACTGCCAAATGGAGAAAAGGTTGATAGAAAACGGCTAGTTTATTGAAAAGATTTTAATAAAGTGTATTGTTTTTGTTGTAAGCCTTTCTGTTTAAAATATAACGTTAATCAACTAGTTAATGAAGGGACTAGAGATTGGAAAAATCTTAGTTCCAAACTCAATAATCATGAAACAAGGCATGAACATATCACTAATATGACCAAATGGATTGAACTAAAAACAAGATTCAGAAGAACAAACACAATTGATAAAAGCATCCAATTACAAATCAATAAAGAAAAGGAATGCTGGGAAAAGGTTTTACCTAGAATTACAGCCATAGTTAAATATTTTTCTAAAAATAATCTTTCCTTCAGGGGACAAATGAGAAGATATATAAAAATAAAAAAATAATGGCAACTTTTAGGGCTTGATTGACATGCTTGCAGAATTTGACCCAATTATACAGGAGCATGTTAAAGGAATAAAAAAATGGCAAACTTCATGCTTATTACTTGAGTTATACTATACAAAATGAACTTGTAGAATTGTTAGCTTTCCAAATAAAAAAATAATAATAAAACGAGTCGAAGATGCAAAATATTATTATGTTATTCTTGATTATACTCCTGATGTAAGTCATAAAAAACAAATGACTCTAATTTTGAGATGTGTTGATACCATAAGTCCTCAGAGAAGTAGTTTGTTGAATTTTTAAAAGGTTAAGGTGTATTTTTATCTCTAAACTTTTTTTAAGAGAGCAATTTTACCCCTACATTGATAAGTAAAGTAATTTTATTTTTGAACTATTTTTGCAAGGAGCGCTAGGCACTTTGTAAAAGGTTTTTTTGCTAGTAAAAAAAATAATTCAAGAATAAAATTATCCCACTTATGAGTATAGGGATAAAATTGCTCCTAAAAAAAGTTCAAGAGTAAAAATGTGCCTTAACCCATTTTTAAAAGTCTGAGTCTTTTTAATAAACTTATCAAGGTGCTGAAAAAATAAGCTTGATATCAAAGATATAAGGGAAAATGTTATGATAATGGAGCTAACATGAAAGGTAAAAATTAAGGTGTGCAAAAAAGATTACTGGACACAAATCCTAGAGCATTTTATATACATGTGGATGTCATAATTTGAATTTAGTTTTGTGTGATATTGCCAACTCATCTCCCAGAGTTATCTCTTTTTTCTACAATGTATTTATTCTTTGTTTGCCTCTTCCACCAAATGGTGGAAAATTTTGCAAGATAATGTATGCAAATTTTTTTTTTATTTTAAGATTGCCAACACTTATTTCAAGAAGAGAGATGAGCATCTCATCACTTACAAAAGTGGAGCCTCAAGGTCGCAGATTGATTTTCTTTTGGTTAGGAACACAGATAGAAAACTTTGTAAAAATTGTAAGGTGATCCTTGGAGATGCTGTAACGACACAACATAGGGTCCTAATCCTTGATGTGTGTATTATGAGTAAAATCCAAAAACGTCGACAAGTAGTAACACCAAGAATTAGGTGGTGGCAATTAAAAGGTGAGAAGCAAGATATTTTCAAGCGAAATCTTTTGGATAAAGGAATTTGAGATTCTCAGGGAAGTGCTAACATCATATGGGAGGATATGGCTAAAAAGATACGGGAGGTTGCAAAAGTAGTTTTGGGAGAATCGAAAGGTTTTGGTCCGAGAGATAAGGAGTCTTGGTGGTGGAATAATAGTGTACAGGACAAAATCAAGTATAAGAAGAACTGTTTTAAAGCCATACATTTGTGTAACAATGAGGAAAATTGGGAGAGGTACCGTATGGCTAAGAAGGAAACTAAGAGAGCTGTGGGTGAAGCTCGTTCCAAAGCTTTTGAAGAATTTTATAAGAACCTTGAGACGAAGGAAGGAGAGCAAAATATTTATAAGATTGCCAAGAGTAGGGAAAGAAAATCAAGAGATCTAGAACAGGTAAGGTGTATTAAGGATGAAGAGGGAAGAATTTTAGTAACAGATGATGAAATTAAAATAGATGGGAGACTTATTTTTCTAAACTTTTCAATGATGGAGAGGATTCATCTAGTAACTTGGAGGATTTAGTAACTGGTGAAGGAGAACAAAATTTGTCATTCTATCGAAAAATACGTGATAAGGAGGTAAAGGAAGCTCTTAAGAAAATGGCAAATGGTAGAGCTAACGGACCTGATTGTATATCTATCGAAGCGTGGAAATGTTTAGGTGAAGAAGGGGTGAGATGGTTAACTAAGTTATTTAATGTGATTTTACGGTCCAAAAAAATGCCTGATGAGTGGAGGAGAAGTACATTAATTCCTATTTATAAAAATAAAGGAGATATTCAGAATTGTACTAACTATAGAGGGATTAAACTCATGAGCCACACAATGAAATTGTGGGAGAAAGTAATTGAGCACAGGTTGAGATTGGAGACAAGTATTTCTGAGAATCAATTTGGTTTTATGCCAGGTAGATCAACTACAGAGGCGATTTATCTACTAAGGGGATTAATGGAAAAGTATCGTTGTAAAGATAAAGATCTACACATGGTTTTTATTGATTTGGAAAAAGCTTATGACCGTATACCAAGAGAAGTGCTTTGGAAAGCGTTGGAAAAAAAGGGAGTACGGATTGCTTATATTAAAGCCATACAAGATATGTATGAGGGGGTAAAAACTAGTATAAGAACGCCTAGTGATCAAACAAAGGATTTTCCTATAAAGATTGGATTACATCAGGGATCATCTCTGAGTCCTTATTTGTTCAACTTGATTTTAAATGTTTTGACGGAACATATTCAAGAGGAAATCCTGAAATGTATGCTCTTTGCGGATGATATAGTTCTTATAGCAGAGACAAGAGAAGAGGTTAATTGCAAACTTGAGTTATGGAGGAGGACATTGGAGTCGAAAGGTTTTCGTCTGAGTAGAAGTAAGACGGAATATTTATATTGTAAATTTGGTAAAGGACTATTCGAAAATAATTTGGAAGTGAAATTGGGAGATCAAATTATACCTCAAGTGGAAAAGTTTAGATATTTGGGAGCCATTATTCAAAATGATGGCGAAATCAGTGGAGATATTTCACATAGAATTCAAGCTGGGTGGTTTAATTGGAGAAAAGCTAAAGGAGTTATTTGTGACCGTAAGGTGCCTAATAAACTTAAAGGAAAGTTTTATCGTACTGCTATCAGACCGGCAATGTTATATAGTAGTGAATGCTGGGCTCTAACGGGAAAGCAAGAGCATAAAGTTGGAATAGCAGAGATGAGAATGTTACGATGGATGTGCGGACATACACGTAAAGATAAAATTTGAAATGAGCACATACGTGAAAAAGTGAGGGTGGCACCTATTGAGGAAAAAATGGTAGAAAATCGGTTGAGATGGTTTGGGCATGTACAAAGAAGACCAAGGGAGGCACCAGTGAGAAGAGTGGAACATATAACTTTGAGTCCGATTAAGAGAGGTAGAGGAAGGCCTAAGAGAACACTCTTGGAAGTTGTTGAACGTGATCTCTTAATTAATAATATTTCTAAAAGCTTAATAAATGATAGAGCACAATGACGTCTTGCAATCCATGTAGCCGACCCCACCTAGTGGGATAAAGGCTTGTTGTTGTTGTTGTAATGTATGCAAATTTTTTATTAAAGCATTATCTCAAACTCGATGGGAAAGTAGAATTAAAAGTGTCAAAATAATAAAGTTTTATGTACCACTAATAAGAGATGCTTTGATTCAATTATTAAAATCAAGTGAAGATCCCAAAATAAAAGGTGAAGCAATGTGTTCAACTACTTATTAGATTGAGAATTTGTTTTTTTTATTAGAAATAAATATCTAATATGATATATTGTTTGCTATTAATTTTGTTAGTAAGATTCTTCGATCCACAAATATGCTCATGGATGTTGCTATAAATCATTGAAAAGGCCTTATTGCTTATTTAAAGAATTATAGAGAACATGGTTTTGCATTTGCTTTGAATTTA